CGTAAGAGGGAAGGGACCGGTTCCCCAGTGGTACCTCCGACGGTCAAGTCAGCTAGTGAGCTTGAGTGGGGTTTGAGGAAAGATCTGAGGATCATTGAGGTCCTCGTATTCATTACTCTTATTTAGTTTTTAAAAGAAGGCATAGCTTTTAGAATTGCTTAGAGTTTTTGCCGAAAAAGAGTTCAGAAATCTTAAAAGAGTTGAAGCCCTCCTCTCATTTCTTACCGTTATTCTTTACTTTACAGATGTCGGCTGGCGACTGGCGGGGAAGTCATTCGAGCACAGGAGGATGCCTTAGGAACATCCCAGATTTAATAGATGAGACAGGATGGATGATAAGCTGATTTTTTAGGACTCCTTTCCTTTCCAGATGGCGGCTGGCGACTGGAGGGGAAGTCATTCGAGCACAAGAGGATGCTTTGGGAACATCCCAGAATCGATAGATGAGACAGGATGGAGGATAAGCCATTTGTTTAGGATTCCTTCCCTTTCCAGATGACGGTTGGCGACTGGAGGGGAAGTCATTCGAGCACAGGAGGATGTCTTGGGAACATCTCAGATTCGATAGATGAGACAGGATGGAGGATAAGCCGATTGTTTAGGACTCCTTCCCTTTCCAGATGGCGGCTGGCGACTGGGGGGAAGTCATTAGAGCACAGAAGAGTATCTTAGTCATCTCTGGGAAGCGACTTGTGGGCAGAGTGAGCTATTTTCTCACGAGGTTTGTCAGAGTTAAGATCTTCATAAGATCGCTCAATAAACGGTGATGTTGATTGATGTATATCTGAAGGTGACTTAGCTAGATCTTGTCCTCTTAGTAAAGACGGGTCGATTTGTGGGTTGTCCATTTGATTTGTCGACAAGTCAGTTGAGTGAGCTTCTGGTCGAGTAAACTACCGAGAAGGTGGCCGAGCCGACTATTTGGGGAGTCGTCTCGACTTATGAGGGGTCGACTAATCTTGCACTTCGTATCGGTAAAAGATGATTTGTCTCCTCGGTGGGCCAATAGACTTGCTCTTGGCTGGGCTTATGGGCCACTAAGTTGGTTCGGACCATAGCTTTTTTGGGCCTGTGAAGATAATCTTTCGACAACTTTATCTTTAAATGGTAAATTACCATAACAATTCTTATATGAAAAATATACGGTGCATAATGCATAAATTTACCACTTACAGAATACCAATTGAATATCCAATGTCCATTCACGATGAATCTCTGGTTCTTCTAAAATTCCTAAAGAATAAATTCAGGTAATTATCAATATCAAATATTTCATGATCATACACTTGCCGAAAGAACTAACACATATACTAAGCAGTCTAAACTATATATCAGATCATCTTCCAATAATATATAAATCACAAAGGGATTAACTAATGGTCAGAAGCAATCATAGCCACTGAATTTGGATTTAAACATATGTACTAATGCTATGGGATATAAATGCGCACTTGATGCGTGCGGCCACACAATATTTTATCTATTATGTAGCTCGGTGATTCTCCGATCAAAACTGAACCTAAGCTCATGTCCAGTTATTAAATTATACTGCTCATTTAATTCATATGCTTCATCATATCAGCCCATAAACTCTAATGATATCATTAGTAAATCACATGACGAAGATTAACTTACATCATCAATCGAGGGCGCAAATAAGAATACCTTCCAGTGTACCCTATCTCCGAAACAAAAAAATAAAGAAGATATCGTTTAATTTCTCTTCTTGATCCTCTTGCCACAACTTTGACTTCTTTTTTTGTGTGTGCGGCGGTACTATGATGGCAGAAAGAAAATAAATAGTTTGATGGGAATATATTGAAGGAATTAGGGTAGGGTTTTGGGGTCTTTATAAAGGCCATTTTTTGCTATTAGCACTCTCTAACAAATTTTTGCATAAAAGTCCATTTACTTTTCTTTGTATATGTTCGCGGGAAAAATTGTTTTCATTGATGTCATTGTTTTCTTGAGTAACAGTTTATCGGTTACAAAAGACCCGGTCTTTTTATAAGATCCGGTTACAACAAAATCAAAAAAAAATCTTAAAAGATTACAACTTTTCTTTTCTGGAACAAATCACAATATCCTGTTTTGCGGTCTCTTGCTTGTGTGGGTTCTTTGCCTGCGCCGGGGTTAATCCGTGGACCACCGCGTGATCTTGATCCGGTCGGATCTACACGGTATGACGGATGTTATTTCACGAAGGAAATAACAGCCGAGAGGATTATTTCACCAAGGAAATAATAGCCCTAAGTAATCGAAATCGACCAAGCGAAATCAATACTCTTCTCGGGATCAAAAACCAAGTTTTGATCCAGAGGATGACCGTGTAGATCTCAGATCTGATCTCTCTCGAACTCCTGCCTTATTTGGCGTGGATGATCGCCAAGCTTGGGCCGAGCCACCTAGGAGTGGCTCGGTTTTGGCCGAGCCTTCCAGGTGTTTGCTTCTTCGCCCGTTTTCTAGTTTCGCGGTTTATCTGAACTTCATTGTTAATCTGGACTCTGATTTGGCAGTCCGGATCCTGATTTGGCAGTAAATCCGCTTTGGTGTTCGAGTTCGAGTCCGCTCCCGATCTTGTTTGATGTGGTGGACTCTACGGTTAGATGACTCGTTGATTCATCGACCCGTTAGCTTGATTGGGCACGCGATTGGATGTATTCTGTTGTTTGCGTGCGGTTCGTTAACCTCGTCGTCTCGTTAATCCGCTTCGTCGCGTGTCACTTGGCTTCGGTGTTGTGGTCTAACGATCACGCTTGGATATATCGCCCGATGGTTCGTTGGTTTGTCGAATCACCGTGTCGATCTGTGTTAAGGGACCTATAAGCAGTTTTATACACCTACAATATATATAGCCAAATAAAGCTTAGTATTATTACAGAATCGAAGGTTCAGGATCAGATTTCGAGTGCAGCGGGTGGACATAACTCATATTTGGCTATGAGTGGTAATTGTATTTTTTTCTATATATAGAGTTGAGGGGTTAAGCTCCAAGACAGAGTTGATGGGGAGAGATGCAAGTTTGGAAGAGAGTTTGTCTTTTCACTTTGAGGCTAACAGGGGCGTGATCAGCTGCAGATTGGTTAGTGTTGATGATCGAAAGGTTGGTGAAGGATTGAGAATTCTTCTGGTTGATTGAGGACGTTTGCGATCATTTGGATGAACTACGTGAGGCTTGATTCCATAGGCAAGAGGATACGTAGGCAGTCATTTTGATGCAGTCGGTTTGATGAGTTGATACCCATGGTGGAGATTGTTCGCATTCTCATTTGGGTTCCCGACTTGTTGTGGATTGAGTCCGTTGTCGTGGATTGATTCCACTTCGTACTGGACGTAACAAGTGGGATATTTGGTTGGTATTGGTGTCGGCTCAGTTTTGGGAAAACTTCGCCGAGGTGGAGAATTAATATAGAAATAACGTCAAATTATTCACAATGTTGACAAACATAAAGATTCGGCAAGGATGTAGTGTCTACCACACCCAGGTGTGGCAGAATCTGCCCCTATTGTTAGGGGTGTGATGTCTGCCACACCTAGGTGTGACAGAATCTGCCCTGTTTTTAGGGGTGTGGTGTGTGCCACACCTGGGTATGGCAGACTCGTTTTTAGATACCTGCATTGTTTAGGATTGAGTTTATTATAAATAGAAATACACGTTTCTAGGGTTTGATGAGACGAATTTGAGCAGCCATTGAGAGGGTTTTGTGCATCCTTTGAGGGAGAATTGGTGAAAGATTTGAGAGCTTTGTTTGAGGGTTTATTTGTGAGATTTTGTGAGATTGTAAACCCTAATTGTATTCTTTTTCTCTCTAATAGTAAAAACTCTTCCCTCCTTGTCCCATGGACGTAGGCAACTTGCCGAACCACGTAAAATCCATTTGTTTGTGTTTGTGTCGTTATTTTGATTGTGTGTGGCATTCTCTCTCGGCGACTTTGTGTTTCCTCGGACCCCAACATCCCTCACAACCTTAGGATTAAACTCGGTCTTCAAGTAATTCAATATATGATTAAGAAAATAAATTGGTCAAATCTGAAATTAAACCGGATTTATTTCATAATCCAAATAAGGATCTAATTTGTTTCTAAAAATAATATAATGCTGATTAATTTTGAATTTCTGCCAAAATTGGATACTTTTGATGAGATTTTAATAATCCGTCAATCTGGATAGCTCTGTCTCGTTGACATAGCTATTTTTTATATATAATATGTTAGATTCTGAGTTTTAGATTGAGATATTACCTTTTTTACAGTTAAAATTCTAAATAATAATTCGATGGGATTTTATTTTACTTGGCATCCAAGTAATTGATATTTGCTTTTTCACTTGGTTCCCTGCAATAGATGATTGAGGCTTTATTGGTTTTTTTTTTTTAGAATTTGAGCGTTTTGGCTACAATGGGCTTCTTTTGTCATCTTTTGAGCTCTTCTTCATTTAAAACATCTTTTCATTTAAATATAATAAAACTATTCCATTAGCTATCTAAAGTTTTAAACAGTACAAAAAGAACAAATTTTCACTGTAGATCCAAACGGAATTTTAATTACCAAAATCGACCGATTTTTTTTTAATTACCAAAATCGACCCGTTTTATGCCACGTAGGCGTAATCCAGTTTCCTAATTAGTCGGGGTTGCCAACCCCGACTGTTTAGGAGTTGTTAAACCGGGTTTTAATGCTTCTAATCGGGGTTTAACAACTCCTAAACAGTCGGGGTTGGCAACCCGACTAATTAGGAAACTGGATTAAGCCTACGTGGTATAAAACGGGTCGATTTTGATAATTAAAAAAAATCAGTCGATTTTGGTAATTCAAATTCCGTTTGGGACTACAGTGAAAATTTATTCGTATAAAAATATAGATAAATTGAGATATAAAAATGATATAAAATATATTAATCAGGTCTAAATATAGTCTACCCGCAGTACCCGAATCCGCATCCTATAGGATCCAATTTTCTAGCCCAAGTCCAATTATATATTAACTCCTTTTCTCCCGCTTTATATTTTTGCGGAGCCGCTCTATTCTTTCCCCCGAACAAATTCTCTTCAGCGACGATGGTGTGCGAAAAGTGTAAGTTTTTCCCTCTCCAAACTCACTTCCAGATCTAAAATAGAGAGAAAATTTTGTAGAGTTTTCAATTAACCCCCCGATTTCTACGTAATTTACAGGCGAGAAGAAACTATCAAAGGTGATCGTACCGGACAAGTGGAAGGAGGGCGCCAGCAACACCACCGAGGGCGGCGGCCGAAAGATCAACGAGAACAAGCTTCTCTCCAAAAAGAGCAGGTTTTTTTTTCATTTAAGCCCTTTGTTTTCTCTTCAATTTGTTATTGGCCGCTTTTATTTTTGTTCTTTTAGAGTTAGGGTTGGGCTAATTTTTTAAAATTCCTTAGCTATTAGGTTAAATTGGATTTATTCAGTGACTGGAATAGGGTAGTTATTGAACTCTCATGGGTTTTGGGAGTATTTCCGCACAGTGGCTTAAATTGATTTTTCATAAAAAGATAAACTTTGTTTATTCTGCAAGCTTCTTATGTCTCTTCAAAGTTTTTTAGTGAATTTTTGTGAGTTTCAACAATTTTTATTACAAAGTTGCTTGTTGATAGAGATATTGAAGTGATTAGATCATAATTGGGGGGATTTCTTTGCACTAAGATAATTCTTACACTAATAAAACTTGGACGAACTCATCTTTAGACGTGGGTAGTGACATTCTGGAGTGAAGAGTACTAGAAAACACCATATGATTAATGAATAGTACAAATAGCTGGATGTGTTTAATACCAATTTGGTGTTTGAGGTCTAATTCTGGACGATATTTCACTATTTGAGGTATGTGTATGAACTTTGAAGGGAGTAAGTAGTTGAATGCAGGAGTTGAAGATGGATGTTGGTATGCTTTATGTGTCTGTAATGAAGATACAAATCGACAAACGCTTGTAATCAAGAACTAACATCGGTGCTCATGTGATTCGACAAATGCTTGTAATCAAGAACTAACATCGGTGCTTATGTGATTCATAGTATAATCAAATATATATGTTTTTGAACGGAAATCCAAAAATATGAGAGAAGAATCCTAAAGCAGAAAAGAAAGAGGAAGATACTTGAGACATAGAGGGATCTAGAGGATTTTTTGTCTCTTTATCTTTTGCGGCTAAGCGAAGCTGATCTATTTCAGCTATTACGCCCACAAGAGAAGATAGCGAGTTAAGCCAATTTCAAGTACCAGCCACAGCCTTTTCTTCTTCGCTCAATAAGAGGTGTTATATCCAAATTAGGACTAAGTTCCTTTGTAAACGTCCAACATATACAATAGATAAGAATTCTCAATTTCTTAACCTTCCTGCATCAGGAAAGGCCTTTGATTAGGAAAAGCCTTTCATTTAGAGTGGAAGTTGTGGGTGTTTAGCTGGAGTGGGTCAGGTATTTTCAGCTTCCAGTGGTCAAATACACTGGTTCTGCAACGACCACATAGGGTTTATTGACAAGCACCTAACTTGATCACCCATGGCTAGTGGTGGTCTCCACTTAACCCAACTAGGGTTAGGTGATGGCTGCTAACTTAAAGAAGAAGAAAGCTTATCGGTTGGTTTGGATCAGATCTGATATCAACCTAGTCCAAGTTTAGACTTGCAAATTGAAACAACAAAATATGTTACTGTGAAACTCACATAACCTCCTAAATCAGAATAAAATAGTTAGGAACTAGCAATTGTAAAAAATTATAAACATAACTTTATGAAGCTTCTAATTCTAGGAGTATTTGATATCGTCACATCCCAAGTTTAGTATTATATTAAATTCCAAAAAGTTGTTGCTAGCATCCATGTCCATGAGTTCAACCTCTAAGATTCCACATTGTATGCGTGTTTCAGTAGAGAGAGAGAGCCTATTAAAAATATGCAGGAATATGTTTTTCTGTGTAGTGGTATGTATAAACTTCAATGAACTCGAGAACCAAATATACATAGCATTTCTGAGAGGAACTACAAAAACTCCAAACTTACACATGTTTAGGCTGGGACTGGTCTAGGATGGGTAAATTCTTTGGAACTGGGGCATGACAATTTTAGTATCTTCTTTTTTGTGAATCCAAAATGTGATGTTGTTATTTGATAGGCTTGATATACAGACATATGTCGATGGCTGCTAGAAATTGACATGGTATGGAAAAAGAAATCCATTTTTTCTTGAAATTTCTTCACATTCGACCTGCTATCTCATAAGAGAACCTGATTAGTTTATTGGCATTGGATCCCAACTGAAATCAAACTCAAGAGTTCTCTTCGTGAAAGAGGCTCTCTCCAAAAGTAATTTTAGGAAAAGAAGTGAGAGCTCCCTATTGAGCGCTTCAAACTGAATGTCAATGGATCTCTTGTGAAAGACAGGCTTCAAGCCTCATCATTTTAGGAAACTAAATTGGCTGATGTAGAGATTATTATTTTTCAGACTCGTGTTGCTATTCATGGTAGGTAGGCTGGATCAGTCGTATATTTCCCCCATCCCGTCGAGTGCTTGACGTCTACTGCTGGTCATTCAAGCATCTTCTTTTATATATGCCTATAAATCCTAGCTTTTGAGTTCTTAGTTCTCTGTTACATTGCAATTTCTCTACTCATCTTTTCTTGTTTGGTTATCTTGCAGATGGACACCATATGGAAATACTAAGTGCATTATTTGCAAGCAGCAAGTCCACCAAAATGCTAAGTACTGCCATACATGCGCTTACTCAAAAGGCAAGGAAATTATAATTAGATCTTGCTACGTACTTGTTTTACTTTATTACATTTAGGTCTCTTGATTTCGTTTTCTCCCCTTTTGTCAGTTTGTGACTCGATCTTTTCCCTCTTTTTCTGATCCCTAATTTTTCCTGGTGCAGGGGTCTGCGCAATGTGTGGGAAGCAAATACTGGATACAAAATTTTATAAGCAGAGCAATGTGTGAAATTCTCCTGGATTTGCTTTGATCTGTACATTAAATGTGCTTATTACTGTAGACAGAGAAGCTTTATGGCAAGCCCTATGAGTTGATTGGATAAAACTTTGCCGCAATATTTATGGACTCTTTTAACTTGTTTCTTGTTTCGAAAAATACACAAATTGCAACCTATTTGCATCACGCTTGCTCGCCTAGTATTTACTAGTTGTTGTTTACGGTTATTGTATGACTGAATTTTTATAAGCATCCTAGTTATGGATGAATGCTTTGTCCCTCGTATGTTTTAGTTCAGTAAATCTGGCCGATAGACAGATTCAAAGATCAACTTCACAAAATAAACGTGATGTACAAAACCTATTAAGATTGGACCTAACTGCAAATGTCATTATTGCTAAAATCTGTAGATTTCAATTCTGTAACCAGAATAAATGAGTCATTGTTTGTTTCATCATAATCACATATGTAAGTTTCTTCTTAATTTCTTTGGTTTTCTTTTGCTGGTTGGTACTAGAAATTACCTGCACTTCTAGGCATTACAGCAAGTAAAGAAAACCCCAAAGTGTCGCCAAAAGCACTATGATTATTGTTGTTGTTGTTGTTGTTATGTGTGCTAAAGGTGTATTTTTCTTTAAAAAAGATGTTGATAAAACTGTGAAACACAATCCAAACCGCAACGTTTTTCTTCAGTATCTTCATCAAATTTGGAGCAGCAGAAACATACATACCATACTTGACCTTTCAAACGCGCCAACAATGTTCTCCTAACAACAAATATACCAACGTGTCTCAATGATATTGATGTCGAGCAAAACAAAACTTACAAGCTTAAAGATGCAAGGCTCACAGCTATTATTATCAGCATATATTAAATCCAGTATATAACACATGGATAAATCACACAACTGTTCAACAAACACAACTTCCATTCAAACCACGTAACTCCCCACTAAGTCACTAGCCCTAGTGTGAATGAATGGTTGGTGGAGCCGTATAACATTAGTACATGCAGATCCGATGTGGATCCGTATAACATTAGTACATGCAGATCCAATGAAAGACCGAATCTCTCGTAGACTATAATGTATATGATCTGCTATAACGAAGCAGCATGAGCAGTACTGCTCAGAAACCGTGTATCTTGATGTGTTCCTTCTTCACAATCCCAGCCTAACCAAGAAGAATGAATAAATCATCAAGAGAAGCAATACATAAAAAAGAACAACAATGCAGAAGCCGGTGGCAGAAATGATCATTTTAAGTACCTGAACTAGGAAGGTGGAGACATTTTTTCGCTGGTCACCTTGGAGTTGAATAACCTATAAAAGAAACAACATAACATGTTAGTTGATTATTGTAAAAGACGGCTCATAAATAGGCAATATAATTAAGATGGACTCTCTAAACTATCGCCTGATAGCAATAGACCCCTGTAGTTCTATTGTCGCAAATAGACCCAGAGTGTAAATTCTGTCAAAAAAGACTTCACTCAGTGGGTCTATTGTGGTAGAACTGCAGGCGCAACTGGAAAACTTTATTGTGGTAGAACTGCAGGGGTCTAAAGCAACTGAAAACTTCACTCGGGGTTCTATCTGCAGGGTGTCTAACGCAGTTGGAAAACTTAAATCAGGGGTCTATCTGCACAGGGTCTAAGGCAATTGGAAAACGTCACTCAGGGATCTAATGCAATAGAACTGCAGAGGGTCTAATGCAATTGGGCAATTGTACATGGGGCCCATCACCAATTAACCCCATATAGCTAAAGAGAAAGCTTACTTGGCCCAGCTCTGGATCTTGAACGACTGTACCATTGCAGCAAAACTCCTTTTTTAGGTCCTTCAAGATTTTGGAGTAGCTAAATTCTTTCTTCAGCCCTTGAACTGTTGTCAGGCTCTTCCTTCCGTTTCTTTGTTGTACGCGTATGTGCACATACTCCTTTGACCCAGCACCGGAGTCCTCAGCATTCGCCTCAGCAAATGGATCTGAATAGTAAGATAAGAGAAAATAAGAAGAAACATCAGCTTAGAGCTACATCGAGTTAGCGGATGTCATAATAGCAGCGCTACTGAGAAAATGGGAATATAGTACTTGACTTCCACACCAAAGACAGGAATATACTACTGACTTGCAAATACCAAAAAATACCAGATTACAAACGCTTTTTAAGTGGCAATGCATGCCCTGTTTTTTCAGGGTTAATTGCGGATTGACCAAATGTACTATCACCAAATTGAACTTATTACCCCTGTGGTTTTATTGTTGCAGATAGACACTCGGAAAGAGTTTTACTCTTGCACTATTGAAGATAGACCCCTAAGCGAAAGTCTATTGTATCAGATACCTCCTGAAAAGGGTTAAAAAAATTCACTCAGTGGATCTATCTGCAACAATAGAACTATGGTTAGTAAGTTGAATTTGGTGATAGTCCGCAAGGTCAATACACAACTAAACCTTTTTTTATTATCTTCCCTGTTTATAGCATTTTTCTTCTGATCTACAAGAATTTTACTGCTACAGCTATTGGTAAATTTCACTGGCATGTAAATTAGGTCCAGTCAACCATATGAGTTAATAAATTTAGTTGCTTGCAATAAAATCACTCTATTAAATGAGTTGACAATTATTAGTTTCTCATAGCAGCTAAAGAATTACCAGCCAATTAAGCCATAACTGAGAGAATGAGCAAATCAGATTTAAAACAACTGAGATTTGATAACATGTCGCAAATCATCGCAAAAGCTTGTAAAGTCAAGGCGAGCTCATCCTATCAAGAGAGGGTTTCATGCTTACTAGTTGACTTGAGATTAAGTCAGGTAAAAACCTAAGTCAGTGAATGTAGAAAATGAAGTTGTCATCGTAAAATTCATAACTCCAGAGTTTCCAGCTATCCCAATGCCGTCTAGCAGTTTTTTATTATTCCACGCAAGTAATCTTAAATTTAAATTGTTGTCTTTAGGTAAAGAACAGACCAAAGGCGGTTGGAATATTGACTTCGAGATCTGACATGAACTTTAGTTGTTGAGGAGCTAGTAGACCGAGCTTTTCTTGACTTGCTTCTATAAAGCAACGAGTAAAACACCTGCAATAACACTTATTCATCATCTGTCCATACAAAAAGCACATGCAAGATGACACTCAAATGTCCAAATTTGTGGATCGATGAATTTTTTAGAGGTTTGACATATAAATTCATAGCAAACTAGTAATCACACGACTCAAAACACACCAAGCCAACATGATCCATGACACTAATCCACACAACGGGAAAGGCATAATACAATAAAAAAACGATAGAATAAACATATGTTGCTCATAATATTGCATTTTCTGTGTGAATTCCAAAAGATGAAGGCTTCTGTCAAGCTGGTAGATTCATTACTAGAATGTTATGTTTTTGCATATTATACCGGGATTTTATATCCTGGATACAATATTTATAATGTTCTAATATTCCAAAATTTAACTGTCAATAACTAAAAAATGTAATAAGCAAGCATCTTAAATTTCATTGAGAGCAATGAAAGACCAAACATAATATAGACATGACAAAACTTTAAAAAAGATTGCATATCTAGACTGAAATCCCAAGTCTAATTAGGAGAGTGAATCCTGCACTCAAGTGCACAATATGAAACAAAATTTTTACGACTTCCTTGCATTTAGAAACATATGAAATTATGGCCACAAAAACAATATTTCTAATGTTTAATATCTGGAAATTAAGGATTATCAAAGATTAAAAAATAAGCAAGCATCCAGAATTTCATTAGGAGCAATGAAAGACCAAACATAACTTAGACGAGACAAGACTTTCAAAAAATATTACATATTTAGATTAAAATCCCAAGTCTAATTAGGAGATTGTATCCTGCACTCGGGTTAACAATATGAAACAAAATTTTTACATCCTCTCCCCGTTAAAATGTCAGGTAAATTCCAATAACTCCGTAGGTGACCGGACAAGAAGTTTATCTGCAAGGTAACGGAGTCAAATTTAGCATTTTTACTAACTCTGTTGGAGAAAAGACCACTCCTTCATGTCCAAGATAAAAACTTCACATTCTATTTTATAGGCTACAGTAGTGTTACAGTGGCATAGAACTCGAAAGCCTATATCCCAAATTTAAGGAATCTTTATTCAACTCTTCTTCAATAGCAACTAAATTAAGCTCAAGCATGTTTAATTAATAGACAAGCAACACACCGATTCTACCTTCTATCCATATTCCTTCTAGCTACAAGGCTGCAACTCTAATAGAAATGATCTCTTTTATCTCAAAGAAACATTTGAAAGCTACAAGATTAATATACCCCACTATCACAGGACAATGAATCTATATAAACCCACCACCTAAAACCCACAAAAAACAGAGTTATCCTCTACATTTTGTTGCCACCGAATTCTCTCAAAGCTCAAGGTAACAACCCGCTAGCAGGCTTATAGCCAATTTGGGTCAAAAGCAAAATCCTTCACAGATTCTCAATTTCAAACTTATTTAGTCATATGTCTGTCATTCTTCTTACTACCTATGGAAAGATCTTGCTCAATGAATAACTATAAAAAAAATGCTTAATCAAACATCAAATATAGTATCAGTGCAAAATCTAAACTTTTAGCCAAAAACGAGATTAACCATCACAAAGTTATCAACTTTGCAAATTAAAACAACATAAATCAACCAGAAGGGGGGACACGGGGGGGACGGAAGAAAAAAAAGAAAAGTAAAAAAAAGGCCTAGTCACAGATAAATCAACCCTCAACACAAGAATCGATCAGAGAGAAAGGAAATTACCGAATCAAACTGCAGACGATCTGATCGAACACTATAACAATTTGATTTAAAGAAAACAAAATCAATGGGAAATAAGGAGGGAAAAGGGATCACCTTTTAGAGAGAGAAAGTAGAGAGAGAAACAGCGGTGGATAAAATTTCCCCGATACCGAGCGGTCGAGGGCTATTTAGAATTATTTTGGGTGCGTTCTGTCTTCGCCTCTAATTTCTTTTCAGAAGAATTTTATATTTATAGAAGAACTAATGAAAGCGATTTTTCAAAATGCCCTCTAATTTCACTCCATATTCTGCTTTTTCTCAAAAGAAATTAGGGCTATTTAGAATGAATAAATAGACAGATTATAAAATGAAATAACTAAAAAAAGAAAGAAAGGTAAGGATTTCTTAGAAGTGGGGTAATACTTGGGGTATTCCCTACAAAAAATAGAAAGTTACAAGTCTTTTTAGAAAAAAAAAAAGATAAAACTCGGCTTTTTAGTCTATCTCCTCACTCACTAATTTCGCAGAATATCCGGATCCAATCTAAGCATAAAGTCAACAAGATATACGGAACAACTAAAATATTCTTAAGATATTTGAAATAATTTTTAAATTGGAGGATATTGGTATTAGGAATATCGGACCGTGCCTCGAAAGATTATTTAAAATGTGCCACGAAAATTTAAAGACTTAGGAGCATGCCTCAAAATGGTCAGGTAGGACACTTAAATTAAGTATGAACATGAACAAAATAAGTCAATAATGAACCATAATAAATTCACAAACATGCAGTTCGCATGTATGTTTAGGATCTGGATCCTCTCCAATTAGGCCATGTATTGTTTATTATGTTTTTTAACCATCCGCGTCGTTTTTACTTAACAAGGAGGTGAGGTAATCACACTTTCAGTATAAAACTTAAGCAGCCACGGCAGCCAGCCGAATGCATCACCAACCTTGTCTTATAAATTTCAGAAATCACAGCTAAGTTTTGCATTTTCAGGAATCGCACAGCATTCAACCATCAGAAAACATTAACTATAGCTTGTATCCCATGCATCATAACTGATATTTAGAATATTTGCGTGTGAATTATATGGTTACAGAGGTCAAAATCGGGTTAAAAGTCAAAAAGTTAACACATTTTCCTGATTTTATATATGATGTGAAGAATAAATCTCAATTTCACTCGGCTATCTGACCTATTTCAGTCAATGTGTTTTTTTCAGTTTCGTCGTAATATCTCAAAGTCTCATATATGCTGGAGAATTCTCAAGCTTATCAGTCTTATTGAGCGAGGGAAGCCCTTTCTATAATTGTAGAAGAGCAAGTGGATACTATGAAAGCCAATAAAGGGCTTTTATTTGGTACACAGCTGCTTTTGGATATAGAATCTTGCATTCGAGGCTAGAAATCATCTGTAGAGGACAGCAAATCCAAGAGCTCAGCAGATATCTCAAGTTCAAGAAAATGACGCGTGTGAGCGTAGAAGAATTACCAGAAAATCAAACAGGCATATTTTTAAAACCTGTAAGAATCGGTTCATTTCTGTCTCAGTTTAGTTCTGCTTATGGTTATAAGAAAACTGGCAGGTTCTACACTCTTAACGCAATTACTAGCCATGCAGCTCATAAAATCTAAGGAAAAGATTAACCCTAGTGAATTTTATGCAGAAAGTATTGATTCAAAGGAGAGCTTCTTGAATCCATAAGCGGATCACGTATGGTTGGTGCACAAACCATTTGTAAGCAGGAACTAATGTCAAAGGTGTTTGTTGTGGACTGTGTCTTATCTATGTCACGACACTAAATAAACCTCTTCATGGTCCTAAAAAGTAAGACTTACCTCTTTTTTTTAATTCTTCTCTAATAAAACTTGCTTTGTTTATACTACAGGCATTAGCATGTGCCAGTTTCTAGTATCACATAACAAAACAACATACAACATAATGCAAAATTCAAATTTAAGGTTTCCTTAACATTATGATGCTTCAACACATGCGTGGATTTCAAAGTTAATACATAGCAAATTCTGGTCTAAGAACTAAATTGGCTATTTGGCAAGTAAACCATGCTCATTTTGAGGAAATGAATAGTCATCCCTCCTCAAGGTCAAAGACAACCTCAGACAGTTCAATAGATGGTAAAAAGTAACGACGACTAGAAAATATTCTCCAAGTTAATAGAGTTCAAAACTATAAAGCACAGGGAGCGCACGACTACAGGATCATCTTTTTGCTGCTTTATAGAATAAACTTGCCCCCAGGAGACATCCATAGATGAGAATTTTTTTTAAGAATTCTATTTCCTAAGCTCCAGGGTTTCCAGCCATAAGTTTGAAAAAAATGTTCCAGAGTTTCAACACAGACATACATGAGTTCATCTATGTGCACGCGCACACACATGTAAACTCCGTCTAAGATATGATTATTTGATTATTATTTTCTACCAGAATGCCCTTGAAGGTCTAAATGGAGGGCGCGCACACTTGAAACCACAATATCTCACCAACTTGCGTATATGCAAGGAAGTTGAAAATGTAACTAGTGAGAAATATGTTTTATTGCAAAGAACATGTTGCTGGATGGTCATAACATATGGTATCACATTGAACATTATTACCACAACAGGGTAATGAATCTCACCTTCACATGGGACGAAAATGCGAAAATTGCTTGGATGAATATAAAGTATCATAATGGCCAGTATACATGGTAGCACAGTCATTCATCAAAATAAGAGTAGGGAAATGAACACACACTAGACAGAAGTCTCATGTTGCCATTTATTAAACGAGGATAGTGAACGGACGATGAACGCGTATACACATATGCAATTATGTTGAGCATATAAATTGATTGAACAAAACATTTGCCATTTCATAACGACATTTCGTTTGATTTCCAAACTATATAGTATAAGATAGAATTATTTAGATATCTACCATCACCAAAAAGAAGAAGAAAATAAAATAAAAGGACAAACTAAGAACACGATCAATTAAGCTAAAAGAGCAAATAATCCTTGTTTTCCATCTATGACAAAACATGAGCAATTGCATTGTTTGGCTACTCTATTAATGAGATGAGACAAAATACGAGCATGAAACTAAGTGGCTTAATTTTCGAAATGGTACAAGTATAACATATATAGATAAGCATGATGTTCAGAACACAATAATTTGGATACACTATTCTCTGTTCAGTATCCACAATTTGCTTGACAGTCACGAAGCCTTGTATCACACAGACATCCTTAAAAAGGCATATAGGAAATGAATTCGACGATACCCACCAAAATTAAGATTAAAAAGGAACTGACACTTGAAATTCTGAAGAAACAGACAGGAAAGGGCAATAGAACCTAGAACTTAAGCAAGGGCATTGGCACCAGAAACAATCTCCAAAATCTCCCCAGTAATCTTGGCTTGCCTCTGCCTATTGTACACCCTCGAAAGGTTCTTCTTGAGCTCATCAGCATTATCAGTGGCATTGCTCATTGCACTCATTCTTGCTGCAAGCTCGCTAGCCAATGATTCTTGAAGTGCCCTCAAGATTTGGCTGTTAAGGTAAAGAGGGAGCAAAGCATCGAGAATCTGAACGGGGTCTTGCTCGAATTGAAGAATTGGAGAGAATGATGGAGTTGGGGTTCTAACAGTCTCCCTTTCAACTGTTAATTTTCCTTCTTTGGTGGTAAGCCTGAAGAGCTCATCTTCAGCAGCATCAACACAAACTCCATTGATGTCGCAGATCTCGCCCTTGGGAGAGAGAGGAAGGAGAGTATGGATCACAGGGTCAGACTTGACGAGGGATACAAATTTAGTGTAGAGAAGCTCGACCTTGTCGACCTCCTCACTGACAAAGAGGGAGAATACATCATCGGCAATAGCCTGCAACAATTCAGTTAGGTTCAAAAATCAAAATATTGACATGAATTTCACAAAAATCTGCAGCATCTATGATTCTACAATCTAGAGTGCGTATAGTCACAAGTTCTAATATGGAACCTCATAGATGCCATACAAACTCTTTTACCACACATTGTTGTGTCTGAGATCTAAATTGAAGCACACAGAAAAACTCATCAATTTTCACATGGATGACTGTAATCAAACAACAGGACATGAACAATTTACAACACTACTAGACAATAAAAATAGGACAAAACACGACACAGGTTGAAGAACTCTTCTTCTAAAGACGGGAGAGATCTTCATGTATTTAATCCGGTATGCTAACAATTAATGATCTTTCTTTCTGTATGTGATAAATTGCATAAGTTATCGACCTCATCCTTTCATAAAACCCGCCATTTCCCTAAACAATTGCCAAGTTCACAACTACTGATCACAAAATATAATTAAAAGCACATCTTGATCGTTGATCTATGAAACATTAGCAAGGTTGAGCTCCAAATTATCAATCATAAGCACAGAAGTATAGAAATAAAGGATTGCAAAGCAAAGTTTACGTTTCCTCGACAATCAATTTATGAGAATTTGCAAGGTTAATAAGTAGCGTTCGACGATGATTCCCTAAAGATCACACATCTCAATAGTTAATCTGGGACTACTAACAAAATTAATCTCCAAAATCATGAATTACATCACATCCACTGAGGTATCATAAACAGTTGCTAACCTGCGCCTCTTTCGTCGTCGGCAGCGTCCCGCCCTCGAGAAACCGATCAACCGGGATATAAGGCCGCCGCAGAAAGTAAGAATTGCCCTTCTTCCCAACACTAATAACAGTATAGTCCAGCCCCAAGCTCTTCAACTCGGCGATCCTCGACTCGGCCTTCTTGATGATCGCGTTATTGAAACCCCCACAGAGCCCTCGATCCCCAGTGACGACAACGAGCGCGATCTTCTTCACGGGCCTCACCTTCGTGAGGGGAACGTCGATGTCATCGGTCTGCATCTGCTCGTTGATGTTGTAGAGGACCTCGACCAGGGTTTCGGAGAAGGGGCGGCCGCTGACGACGGCCTCCTGGGCTCGGCGGACCTTGGCGGCGGCGACGAGCTTCATGGCCTCGGTGATCTTCTGGGTGTTTTTGACGGAGGCGATCGCTCGCGGAGCTCGCGGAGGCTGCAGTGGACGACGGAGGTGGGGCGAGGGGGGGCGGAGGAGGTCGGGAGGTGAGGAAGTGGCGGGAAGTTGGGGTGATGAAGGAGCGAGAGGCCGAGGTGCGAGGACGCCCACATTGTGGAGGATGTCATTTTTTTCGATGGATTTTGGGATATGCGGGCTCTGTTTCTTTTTTTTTTTTTCTTTTTTTTTTCGGGTTTAGAGTTGTTTGTTGAGCTATTCCTCCCCCCCCCCCCCACCCCTGGATGGGTGTTGTGGAGAGAGAGGGGGAGGGAATGAGTGGAGGGAAGGGAGTGATGGGAAGGATTTGGATTGGGTTTGGGGATAAGGGATTTTGACCGTTGGTGGTCGTGGACTGATGAGAGGGTTTTGTTTGGAGATTTTTTCTTTTCTTTTCTTTCCTTTTCTTCCGCGCCCGCACCCCCCTTTTTTACCCTTTTGTGAGGGTAGATGCTTTTGGGATGCTTTGATCCGAATCTCCCCATGTTACTGGTTATTATTACTGTTGATTGACTCTGATTGTATCTGTAAATAGAATTGCGGGGTCTATAGTTAATATTCAAAATAAACCATCGAAGCGCAAATTGAATTCCAACTTGGGAAACTGGCTTCCCTAGGTCGAAACTTCTATAAGGAGGATAATAAATTCGCGAATAATAAAATATCTACAAAGCTGCTTAAACATCATAGATAATCACTCAAAGCAAATCTACTGCTCTATACCACACAACATCATGCTCTAAATTCTGCCAGAATAGTATCATAATCTTCAATACTCAGGAGAACAAGCAAACATCAGCATCGGTAGAAGACAGCTCCTTCCGCTTAAACAAGCAACTTTACAGAGTTTGATATAGATACATGCTCGATTGCTTGTAGGATACATATTTACACTTAAGAGTAGAATTCAGTATATCAAGCGTACACAAGTCTCACAAAACCCCACTCTTCAGTCATCTGGTAAAACACAAGAAAAATACCAGGAGTCAGAGAGAAGCAGAAGGCTTTATGAAAGGCATGGCTTCTGTCACGATCAAACCGATCCAGAGCTCAGTGCAATAGTCTCTGCAGCAATGCATTATTGAAAGCAAGCTCTAAATACAGGAGTTGTTGATTATTAACAATTACACCATGATCTGTGGGCCTAGCATTCGTTCCTTTGCCAGCTCTTCTAATCTTTTGGTAACTTTTACAGCCACATTGGTATATGCTTTGGCTGCTGCTGACTCCGCTGCAGATATGACAATTGGACTGCCTTCATCAGAAGCAGTCCTGATTTCTTGTTCCAATGGTATCTAAAACAGGATGTAAAAATTATATATACATAAGAAAATAATGCAACAGAGAAGTGTTTCTAGGATGTAAGTGTTCCAATGGTATCTAAAACAGGATGTAAAAATTATATATACATAAGAAAATAATACAACAGAGAAGTGTTTCTAGGATTTAAGAGGTGGTTGAGCTCTCATAGGTATGTATCAGGTTCAAATATCTGCATGTTAAACAGATGCAGACACAGGTAGGCTCTAGCTGGTTGCAAACTGTTACTCCATAATTAATAAAAAAGCTCACAAAAATCTAGAAAAATACATATCTATGTGTCATTAGAGAGGATGATAATTATTAAACCTCGCCAAGGAATTCCATATCCATCTCTTCAGCTGTCCTTCGTGCTCCCCCGCGTCCAAAAATGTAGGACTTCTCACCACAATGTGGGCACTGGAAGCAGCTCATATTTTCCACAAGACCTAAAATCTGCAGAAAAATTGCAAAATGAAAAGCTAAGTAAATGAGGTATGCATGCATCATTCAACAAATCTGAAGAGTTGAATGAGGTGATAATATTGGGAGATGATCCTTTATTAACTCCATAAAAAAGAATGCTAAATTTCAATTCCCGAGGACTAATGTCAAATTTTGCTGATTGCTAGGGTCATATATCCTAAACTCCAAGAAGAAAGTGTGACAAACTCCAGTATGTACAAAAGAAATACATAATATCCAATCTTATGGGTGATGTGATGGTCAACATATAGAGTCAGAGATCAAAAGCCATGATATCTAACTAGCAAACTTAGATAAGCACTGAAGACAGATGTTCTTACAGGAACTTCAACTTTACGAAACATACTGGCCCCTCTCCGGGCATCAATTAATGCAATATCTTGAGGAGTTGACACGATCAAAGCACCTGTTGAAAGAGAAGTTCGTACAAAAAAAAGAGTAAGGTAGATTTCAATCGTAAAATGACTATAAAAGACCATTTCCATTGCAAGTCGCAAACTTGAATCTTTTCGTTTGCACAAGATATTATAAACTCCAGAAATCTGGTGTGTGAAAGAAAAGGCTTAATTGCACTTAAACACCCTATAGTTTCCCCTACTTTACACTTATATACCCTCACTTGTTTTACCAACACTTATATACCCTATAGTTTCCCTACTTTGCACTTACATACCCTCACTTGTTTTTGGCAGCACTTATATACCCTAAAATTCCTAAAAGGTGCACTTATATACCCTCACTTCTTTTATCAACGCTTATATACCCTAAAGTTTTTAAAATTTGCACTTAGATACCTTAAAGTTTTTAAAATTTGCACTTAAATACCCTCAATTATGCAAACTCGAGAGTATTCAATTTTTAAAATTTTACGGTATTTAAGTGCCACACTGTCAATTTTAAAAACTTTAGGGTATTGTAAGTGCCAGTTTTAAAAAAATTAGAGTATACAAGTGCTACGAAAAACAAGCGAGGGTATACAAGTAAAAGTTTTAAAAACTTTAGGGTAAATAAGTGCTGCCAAAAATAAGTGAGGGTATATAAGTGAAATGGGAAACTATAGGGTATTTAACTGTGATTAAGCCGAAAAAGAAAGGAAAATAAAAACAGCAGAACCAAAGTACTACACTTCTTCAATCAAGACAAGACGAGTATGTTTTTCTGTATATAAAAACTATAATGATGGTGGAAATGTTCTAATCTTGACTGAGATGCTGAATAGCTTTAATAATAGATTTCTCAAAAACAAGAAATAGAAAAGCCAATGATATTATTTATCTAACCCTAACCTCTCTTAAATAGAGATTAGAAGAACACTACAAACTAGGTATAAGATAAAATCATATCTAACCACATTTTACAATATCTCATAAATCTAAATATCAATAATATCTAATACTCGCCCTCAAGCTAGAACATATCTACTATATATATGTCCAGCTTGTTACAAATAGAAATAAACACCTAGTCGCAAGAACTTCGGTAAAGTCATCTTTGCTCGGAATGTTTGAAGACGTCAGAATCAAGAAAAGCATAGTCAAAGTCAGTAGAATCCCGAGGGAGGTAAGCTAGTAGAAACCTTATGCGAGTCAGTCAATAGAGAAATCTTAGGCGTGTAAGTCAGTAAAAATCCTAGTCAGGTCAGCCAGTCGAGAAACCCCAGACGGGCCAGCTACTATGTACTTTTGCATCCCAACATCGGAAGGTGACAGATAGCGATACTTTTCACAGTAAATAGTATGTGAAGGTACTATCCATCGATAAAAAGTATTAATGGGCTCTCCTCGTGATGACTAGTGTCGCCCCCACCCCCCACCCCAAATCTTGAGATTAGGGTTTTGTAGGCCTTTTTTTATTCAGCTTCAATAGAAATTTAGCAATCAAATGATGTAGAAACCAAAGATGTTTTCCAAGCCGCCGAAGATGTTGTCGTAGTCACCGAGGGGAGCATGAAGGTCATGCAAAACCCTATCGACAGCCTCGAGATCTAGAAAGATGAGCGAAGTTGCTAGAATCGAGTAGGCTCTAATAACATGTAGAGAAAATAGAGAGGATAAAGTTATTGTTTCATCTAACCTTAACCTCTCTTACATAGAGATTAGGAAAATATTACAAACTAGGTATAAAATAAAATAGTATCTAACCACATCTCAAAATATCTCAACAATTATCTCATAATATCTCCTAAATATAAATATCAATAATATCTATAACACACTTTCTTCACAAACAATCACATAAACTTTTACTAGTTCTCCCAAGATTTTCACACATAACACGAGTAACAAATGCTCACTACATCAATAAAGCCTTCTCATTTTAAATAAGGAGCACGACAAGATTGTAGATCAAACAAGGAATTTCTCATTTACTGTAGCAAAACAACAGGATAGTTAACGCACTAAGAGTTAACCTCCTGAAGTCTCACTGGAAAAGCCAACAAAACTGTCGACAACTCACACGGAGTTTTCATCCAGCCCAGTCAGTCAATTCAAGTGGAAAATTCTCACCTTCTTGCCCCTCTTTCCACTATATGGACTACCTTTTTAATATCGACCATTACAGTCATTCAATTGTCTTGATATGTCGTGTTCTGGAAGGGTATGTTATGATGTGGCAAAAACGGGGGGAAAATAAAGGCGCAGGATTTTGATATTGTGCAAACCAATTTCTCTTTCAAATGCAATATTAAACTCATCAGGTGTGATTGGGTTATGATGAGATAATGGATTTTAAGAATTAGAACTAAACCCAAACACAATGTCTGCAATGCCCAAAAGCACTCTATATTGTTAGATGATCTTTTTACTTTTTAGTTAATTGTCTGCTTGAGCTTTCTCCCGCATAACAAACACATTGTCTTTGCACCCTTCACGAAAAAAAGTACATCACAGATAGATAATGTCTAGGATGTTAGAGCATCTCCAAGGGGCCGGAAAAATCCAGCCCCTTAGCTAAATTAGGGGACTTTTAAGATGGATTGGCTCCAAGGGACCGGAATTTTTCCCCTTCACCCTCATGTCTCTTTAACTTCCTCCTCAAATTAAGGGGAAGGTTAAAGTCCCTTAACTTTCCCCTTATAATTTTATATTAATATATTATATTTTAGAGTTAATTTATAGTTAATTAAATTTAGTTAATGTATAGTTAATTTAAAATAATATAATTAAGTTAATTTAAAATAATATAATTAAGATTTTAATATGATTAATTAATTTAATGATTATATAAGGTAATTTCTTAATTTAAATTAATTAATTAATTGTTATTAGTTATTAATATTTAATTATTTATTCATTTATAAATAAACCACATATTTTATTAAATCCTAATCTATAAAATTAAAAACTAAACATAATTAATTAAGGGGTATAGGACTTTTAAGGGGGAACCATTGGAGGAGAACCAACCCCTCCCTTAAAGTTCCCCCAAATTAAGGGACATCTAAGGGATCCCTTGGAGATGCTCTTATAACTATCTTTAAATTTAACTTATTAAATACACATGACATATGCTGTATAGAAGATTCCTATCTAATATGAACCCAACATTTGATATTTTTACTGCTCTCGTATATTTAATCAAATCTCCAAACATTGTCCAAACATGAGGTGGCAAATCAAGAGGAGGTAAGGAAGGTGAGGCATTGGGTATCAAGAGGTGGTGGAGAAAAAAAGCATGCACTCTCATGCCTAGCATCTAGAATATACAATCAAAAGAAGGAAAATTCAAATTGAACTATTAGTAGAGAAGCGCATTTACAAAGAAAAATCAAGGTGCATATTTGCACTAAGTCCACTAGGGTTTTAGGTTCAAAAGCATCAAGCAAACTCAAATGCAGAGCATACTTTCTCTCAAAAAAAAAATTCAACAAAAAATTTTTTCTCTCAAAAAAAAAATGCAGAGCATACAGACACATGTTGCCTTTCAAAAAAATATTAATTTCAAAATATCAGGTATGATGAATTTATTTAAATCATCTTATACCTAATTACCTATATCTGTAATATATATCACAGGTAAAAGATGGGGAAACAGTATTGAGTATAATCATTTTGTAATCTCTCTTTTATTTCTCTTTTAATCCGCATCTGCTTACCAGATAACTGTAGTCTCTGAGAAATAGATAGTTGCACATCTCCAGTGCCAGGAGGCATATCTACAACCAGAACATCGATGTTTCCCCAAGCAACTCCTCTAGTCAATTTCTCGAGAGCACTCATTACCTGAAATTAGTTGAGTTCAATGACAAAGCGAACACTTTTCTGTGCAACAAAATTTAGAGACAGATGGCAAAGCTACAAATGATCACTGTGTATTTGTAATATCAGTAGTGCCTGTAGTTCATAAAACACAAGAAACAAGTTATGTGTCTACAATGAAGAAACATGGAAGAGAATCACTAATTGGTTGTTAAATGGCAGCGGGTCATTAGAAGGAGCTAGTAGTACAAGCAAGGATGCCTCCGAAGATATACTGTCAAAAAGGTTTAGTGCAAGGTTGCAAAAATATATACCTGTCTTGCAAGATCTAGGCAGTCAAAAAACAAGAAACCTCCAAATAGCACCACGGACAGCAATACTTAAATAATGTAAAAATGAGTCGAAACAGAAGAAGAAATGACAAAATATTTTAATAACCCACTAACAGTTCATATTGGAAAAGCAGCCTCGAAAATCTTGACAATGTAGACTAGACTAAGTACAGCTTGTTTTGTTTGCCTAAAAAAAATCAGGTGGGTATCACTATCAGTAAATCATTAAATTGATGGAGAAAGTGTTAGGTCTCATGTTTATGAGCCTATTGTCTAATCTAGTTTTGATGATTAACAAACAATTCCTAACAACATTTGTCGAGTGTGTGTATTTGCTTGTTAGGTATTCTATACAAAAATCCTTATTGGAGGTTGGATGAAATTGAGCGCAAACGACGATATCTTGGAGGTTGGTGGAAAACGGAATGAAGCTGTCGCAATTCAAGTCAAAATCCATCATCGCTTCATCCGCAACAAAGACAAGCAAATTGAAGATATATTGCTTGGGTATATAGTTTTGTAGTTTAGGCTTTTACTTTATGTGTTATATTTAAAGCTTAAACTATACACGCACATTTGTTTTTTGTTTTATCACCGTCTTCGGATTATAGACTTAGCAACACGATTTTATATCTTTTATTAAGTCTATAAATCTATTTGAAAGTATTTCAAAACTTGTTTGGAATGATTTCATCAAAATCAAGTTTTGACGATTTCGTATTTTGAACACTTTGCAAAACAGTAAGTTTTTCACGTTTGGGAAATGCAATTTGAGAAATTTCTTCTTTAACATATTTAGTTTCATGTGTATAAATATTTTCCCAAGTTTTACTAATTTTAGAGTTAATTTGTTATTTTTAATTGAATTTAGAAAATCAGTTTTTCACTTTTTTGGGTTTCATGCTGTTTTTGCAAACCAGATGAGTTTTCACAAATGAGAAATGATATTTCAAAATTTTCTTTAACATGTTTATTTTCATGTATATATACATTTCCCCAAGTTTTACTATTTTTAGAGTTGATTTGTTATTTTTAATTGATTTTATAAATTAGCTTTTTAGGTGAATAGTATTCTGTGAACAATACCAATCGACTGATACACCTTCATAAGTCGACCGATCAGAGCAAATTGTCAGCGTCTGAGTTTTCAGACCGATCAGTCGACCGATGGCATAGCATCAGTCGACCGATCAACGGTCAGAAGCCTAGTAACAGCTAGTTTTTTAGGCTGTTTTGCTATGGAGACTATATATGTCTCATAACTCATTTGTTTCACTAAGAATGTTTAAAAAATAGTTTTGACAGTTTGTTTTAAAGGTTTTTGAGAAAAAACAAGTTTGTTTTATGTGAAGAAAGATTCACAAAGAGAAGAATCGAAATTTCATCCTTGAGGAGTTCAACCTCAATTCTCCATCCCTCTTTGTTTAGAGAAGTTTTTCTAAACTCATTATCTAGCTTATTTTCATTTTGATTCTTATATATATTTACTAGATTAATTTGAGTTTAATTTTCGTTATACTCATTGTTTACACACACAACCACTTGAGCTTGAGTATTTCATATATCGTATATTTGGGTTGTGGGGTTGTATCGTTGAGTGAGCTTAAATTTCGTTCTCAACTTGTTTAGAGAACAAATCTTTATTTGTACATATTGTAGAATACACAAGGATACTTATAGGAGTAGTTGGGAGAAAACGGGGTCAATTCCAAGATGAGTGGTTTGGTTGCAAAAACCTAGGGAGAGGAAATTCCAAGCACTTGAGGAAGATGACACGGGTCGGCCAACACTTAGAGAAGTATTGTGTGATTGTCAACGTGTATATTGTAAAAAAAATTCGGTGCGCTTGGAAAACCGATTATGTAGTGATTGTCTTAATAGTGGAGAACCTCCTCGAGGTGAGAAGCGGAGACGTAGGTCGAGGGTTGACCGAATTCCGTGAACATATCCTTATGTTTGTGATTGTTTTGACGCACTCTTATTGTCTCATTGTTTATATCGCCTATTATTCATTGTTTATCCTTGCACATAATTTTATTGAATATCATATTTATTAGGATATTAGTTGAATAAGTTTTTATTTGGCATAGAATCGGATTAGATTAGCAAATACCCTATTCACCCCCCTCTCTCCTAGAATACTTTTATTTGGTATCAGAGCTTGGTGTTCTTGATTCGTGACTTAATCACCTAGAGTCAAAGATCCTCGCTATTATTCATTTTGCTAATCTAGTTTTGATATTTATATTGCTTGCATCATAATTATGGACATGCACGGTGCACCTAGTTTATGCTATGACATTAATGTTGCTCCTAAATTTAATGATTTCCCTTATGCGTAATGGATTTTTAAATTTAAACTATTTGTTAAATCTAAACACATCGATTTATGAGAAATAATTGATTATACTTATGTTGTGCCCACATTGAAAAAATTCAAGTGGAGCAATAGTGATAAAAGAATGTTTACAATGAACAAACTCTTGTTAGAATTTTTGCTTAATGCATTTGAATCACCTATATCTAAAAAACTTGCTCATTTTGATAGTGCTTACAAATTGTGGATATTTATAGAAGCACATCAAGAAAACTTAGAGGAGATCCGACTTGTTTTGACGGACTCCACTTCAAGTGAGTTTGAAACTTCATCGTGCACACGGCCACTAGGCAATAACCTTAGTGAGGTATGCGAGTCCGAATCCGATAGTGAACTTTCTATTAATGAGCTCGCTCGTGCATATGAACGTTTGATGAATGTCTATAATAAATTGCACCATAATTTTATAGATTTAAAAAACAAGCATGTTAATTTAAAATCCGATCATGATATGCTAGCATCCAAGTTTAACATCATTGCTAAAAAAAGGCAACACTTAAAGAAAACAATGAAAAATTAAGCTTGGAATATAAAATTTTGATTTCCGATATAGCTAGTTTATCTAATGCTAAAAATAATGCCATGATAGAGGTAGAATCTATTAGAAATGGATTTAATTCATTTAAAAAGAATAATGTTTGTTCTACTTCTAATAGCAATGCATATGCGCCTAATAATGAGTTGAATCTTATGAAAAACCGTATATCTTCTCTAAATTCAACATTAAACAAATGCATTGATAATAATAAGAAACTTATGAACCTATGTGCAAAGTCATGTGCAAATTCTTTCAAACCACGCACTCACTATGCACAGATGCATAGCAAAATTTATAAATGCTTTATTTGCGATCGTAAATGCCATCTTACTAAATTTTTCTATGATGCACGTAAACCCACAAACTCTAATACCAATGCTTATTGTGCATCTCATAAAGTTTCATCACCACACATACACACGCATGCACCTATTGATCACCATAAACATGTAAATGTGTTTAAGTGTGATTATTATGGTAGGTTTGGTCATTTGTCAAAGTTTTATTTTGATTTAAGAAAAGCTCACATTTGCAAAATGCTTTAAAAAGATCATCTTTGTTTGCAAATATTCCTCGTGCACAATCTCATAGTCAACAAAAATAAGTGAGTCCATTTCATTGTATGTATTGCAATAGAATGGGTCATTTGCGCTTATGATCTAACACGTGCACTAAATGCGCCCAAATAGGATCATAACCTAAGGGTCTTGAATTTTATTGATAGGGGTCATGTCCCTAAACTCTTCGACACCAAAAGTGTTTGGGTGTCAAAATTAGTTTGATTTCCAAAACAAATATTTAGCGTTTCCATTTTTATTTTTTTGGAAAACGTGTTTGCGAAAATTATTTTTAAACGTATTTGAAAAACTTAATTTTGGAAATGAATATTGATCAAATTTTACCCAAATGATTGTTTTTAATTACAAATAAAACATTATTCTTGAAAATATATTTTGTTTTCATTGCATATTATGATATTTATTGATTTTGATTTTGATGAAAAGATAGATTGTTTGCCAAAGGATACATTGTGACGAAACATTTGCACTAGTTGCAAGGATGAAGTCAATTCTTACATATTCTTATGTTTTTAGCATTGCTTGTTTTAAAAAATTCAAACCATTTCAAATGCATGTTAAAAATGACTTTCTAAATTGTTTTATTTATGAAAAGGTTTATGTTTGAGCATCCCCCGGTTTATTGATCTTTTTCTTCCAAATCAATTTTTTTATGCAAAAAGCCTTATAATGGGTTGAAACAACCTCCAAGAGCTTGACATGATTATCTTTCTAATTTTCTTGTCGAAAATGATTTAATTGATCTATGTTTGTTTTATCCAAAACATACACTTCTTTTTTATCTTTGTGGATGAAACACATAAATGTTTTGACATTATTTTTTGTATGATCATGTAGATAGAAAAGATGTGTCCATTATTTATATTGATTGAGAATCTCTATTAGCGGACATCTTTACCTAACATTTTTGCAAAGAAATTATTTTTATCATATAAGAGGCATATTGGGCATGCTTATCACTTGAATCATGTTTGCCTAATCATTGCTTTATCAAAAATGATATTTTCATGTTTGCTTGATCATTCTCTTATCCTTTTCAAAAACAATTTTCTTATGATACTTGTCCTTCATGGATGTTCATGATTCTCTTTTATTTTCAAATTGGGAATATATATCAAAAACTTTATTTGAATTTTCTTTTGGACTTCCACGGTCTTCATGTTTTTCATGACTTTCATGACTTGGTTTCATTTGAAAATAACTTTTCATGATTTCCCTTCATTTGATTTCATAAAGTTATATATATCTGTAAGTCTATAGATTGTTCTTTGTTTATGTTTGTGTATTGAGACACATTTTTCATAATGATATATCTATATGTGTTCTCATGGTCTTTTTGAATGTGAGTTGTCATGATTTTTTTTTTTTTTTTGTCTATACTCACATTTTGATACCTTATAATTATCTTAATATATATGTTTTAAGGTATTATGATAGGGAGTGCTTATTCCCTATATTTGTTGTATACTCACTTATGCTCATTTGTATGGGGAACCTTCACTCTCTTTATTCTTACTGTTTTTCCCATTTTGATGTTGACAAAGGGAGAAAAATAAGTATATTGTGAGTATTTTGTTATCTTGCATGAGGATAAGATATTGTATACTCATTTATTATCATGCATGTTTTATATATTCTGTGTAGATTGTTTGTCATCATCAAAAAAGAAAAGGTTGTTAGGTCTCATGTTTATGAGCCTATTGTCTAATCTAGTTTTGATGATTAACAAACAATTCCTAACAACGTTTGTCGAGTGTTTATTTTTGCTTGTTAGATATTCTATACAAAAATCTTTATTGAATGTTGGATGGAATTGAGCGCAAACGACGATATCTTAGAGGTTGGTGGAAAACGAAATAAAATCGTCGCAATTCAAGTCAAGATTCATCATCGCTTCATCCGCAACCAAGACGATCAAATTGAAGATCTATTGCTTGGGTATATAGTTTTGTAGTTTAGGCTTTACTTTATGTGTTATATTTAAAGCTCAAACTATATACGCACATTTGTTTTTTGTTTTATCGCCGTCTTCGGATTATAGACTTAACAACACGATTTTATATCTTTTATTAAGTCTATAAATCTATTTGAAAGTATTTCAAAACTTACTTGGAATGATTTCATCAAAATCAAGTTTTGACGATTTCGTATTCTGAACACTTTGCAAAACAGTATGTTTTTCACGTTTGGGAAATGCAATTTGAGAAATTTCTTCTTTAACATATTTAGTTTCATGTGTATAAACATTTTCCTAAGTTTTAATAATTTTGGAGTTAATTTGTTATTTTTAATTGAATTTAGAAAATCAGTTTTTCGGGTTTCTTGTTGTTTTTGCAAACCAGATAGGTTTTCACAAATGGAAAATGATATTTCAAAATTTTCTTCTTTAACATATTTATTTTTATGTATATAAACATGCCCTCAAGTTTTACTATTTTTAGAGTTGATTTGTAATTTTTAATTGATTTTATAAAATTAGCTTTTCAGGTTAGTATTCTGTGGACAATACCGATCAACCAATACACCTTCATAAGTCGACCGATCAGAGCAAATTTTCAGCGTCTGAGTTTCAGACCGATCAGTCGACCGATGGCATAGCATCAGTCGACCGATCAACGGTCAGAAGCCCGGTAACAGCTAGTTTTTACGTTGCTTTGCTATAGAAGCTATATATATGCCTCATAACCCATTTGTTTCACTAAGAATGTTTACAAAATAGTTTTAACAGTTTGTTTTAAAGGTTTTTTAGAAAAATCAAGTTTGTTTTATGTGAAGAGAGTTTCACAAAGACGAGAATCAAAATTTCATCCTTGAGGAGTTCAACCTCAATTCTTCATCCCTCTTTGTTTAGAGAAGTTTTTCTAAACTCATTATCTAGCTTATTTTCATTTTGATTCTTATATATATTTGCTAAATTAATTTGAGTTTAATTTTCGTTATACTCATTGTTTACACACACAACCACTTAAGCTTGAGTATTTTACATATCGTATATTTGGGTTGTGGGGTTGTATCGTTGAGTGAGCTTAAATTTCGTTCTCAACTTGTTTAGAGAACAAATATTTATTTGCACATATTGGTGTAACACGTTGGAATGCACAAGGACACTTAGAGGAGTAGTTGGGAGAAAACAGGGTCAATTCCAATAGGAGTGGCTTGGTTGTAAAAGCCTGGGGAAAGATAGTAATTCCAAACACTTGAGGAAGGTGATACGGGTCGGTCAACACTTAGAGAAGTGTATTATGTGATTGTCAACGTGTATATTATAAAAGTTTTCGGTGAGCTTGGAAAACCGATTGTGTAGTGATTTTGTGTTGATAGTGGAGAATCTCTTCGAGGTGAGGAGCGGAGAAGTAGGTCGAGGGTTGACCAAACTTCGTGAACATATCATTGTGTTTGTGATTGTTTTGGCGCACTCTTATTGTCTCATTGTTTATATCGCATATTATTCATTGTTTATCCTTGCACATAATTTAATTGGATATCATATTTGCTAGGATATTAGTTGAATAAGTTTTTATTTGGCATCAAAATCAGATTAGATTAGCAAATACCCTATTCAACCCCCCCCCCCTACTTTCAGAAAGTTCTTCCCTCGACAATTCAAGCTGTACAACTATTTACAAAGCACTTAAGAGAGTATAATTTGCAGCTCCTTAAGAGAACCTACTTAAACAAATATTTGAAAAATAAGGAAAAGAGCAAGCATGGCAAGTTATTCAACGAAATGATGTATGAAGTATGCATTTCTAATGATCCTTCAAGCTGTAAACAGGAAATGATGAGCGGTAGCAACTCGCATAGGAAAAAAAAGTATGCATTTCAAACACTAAATTATAAAACAGAGAAAATACAAGAAACAAACCATAGGACCTCTCCAGACGATAGGAGCATCCTTGTCAACTAGAAATCCAATGGACATGCATCGCACTCCATAGTTTTCAAAGGGAATCATCTTCAAGTCTGCCAGAAAGTCAAAAAAGTTATAGCACATGTATTATTTTGCCTGAAGTAAAAAACTCAAAAGAGAAATTTGATCAAATAACCACAGAAAATAGGATAAAGCATACAAAATAGACACAATTTTAGTAGAATGAATAAATTATGAAGATGGAAATTTGCAGATGAAATACTAATGAAAAGGAGAAGAATACCTAAGAGTTCAATTTAGAAAATTATTTGCAAGACTACTACTCCATGTTATTCTCAACAATCTCAAAAGCCTGATTCCAATTATGTATAATATTGTGATGTTCATTTAGTAGGAATCTTTTTCTGCCTGAATGCTTTGCAATGGACATGGCACCTGAATTTTTATCTAAACTAATGCAAAATGTCCTGGAAGATAACCAAAGCAAGTCTATGAATCCATCAACAACTTGAAATGCATCTGAGGAGCTGGAGGATTTATCTATAACTACTGCCAGTTTGATTAATATACCTCCATAAAGACCAATTTTTTGCTGAAACATACATGATGTAATTTATGAGAAAATACAACAGCCTCGAGTAACATTGTTTATGTAATGGATCCATACCCATGGTTTGTATAATATCACCAAAAATTTGTATAGATTATGCAGGACAAGACAAATTTTTCACAATTGGCCAAACAAGGGCTTTAATGGAATGCCCCTAAGGAACTAGAAGCATTCTTTCTGTGCTAGAGAAAGCATTTCATCATCTTCCGAGTCTTATAAGGTCGTGATAAACAGGAGTCTTACAACTCATAAGGCACAAAAGCTTTAGCACTTCATACTAGAATTTGTTGCCCTAATAGCTTCCCTGCATGGTACTCCCTATTTCCACAGAACAAAAGCTCAGATTTTGCATTTTAGTGCTCTCACGGAACAATGTATGACCTTGCAACATTAGAGTCATGTCACTTTGATTCATGTGACCATTTGAACATATAGATTTCAAAAACAAAATTTCTGTTAAAATAATAATAATAACAACACAGGAATGAAACAACTAATTTAGATTTTAGTGTGAGCAAATTATTCAGCAAAAAGAAAAAAAGAGGATAACACCTTCACTCACTTCTGGCTTCCCATGTAGATGTAGCTTCATCATGGTAGGAATTGATGGCCCGTATATATCAGCGTCCAATAAACCCACCTTCAGTTGGCTCGTATTAGCAAGTGCCACAGCCAAATTAACTGCAAAACCAGAAAAAGACCCACAGTGGGTTACTTGTTCTAGGATGAACCTACAAGAAACGGAAATTGTATCGTAGTTGTCTCCATTTATCAGAGAGGACCAGCCTAATACTGAGCAGAATGTGGAAAAGTTCATAGCCTTTCAATTTAAAAATATCCTAAAAGTGTAACTTTAGGCAAGACAAACACGACGACGGAAAATTAAATTTTAAATGAGTTAGGAAACTAAACCTGCAGTTGTAGATTTCCCAACGCCGCCTTTTCCTGAAGCGACGGCAATGATGTCTTTAATTCCACTGATTGAGGAGCCTTTAGAAGCACTTGTACTGTAACATCTGACGACATTTGACCCTAATTAAGAATTTGGGAGAAAGAATCGCTAGGATGAGCAAGTGTACAGGAGTTATATCAGCCAATTCCTTTCTATTTAAAGAAAAAGGACAATTTCCGAGTCCATATAAAGAAATTTAGCCAGTGTTCCAGTGGAACGTTGAGCTTAAAGCACAAGAATAATTAACAAAATCAGATTAAATTTGAGATCAAATGCCTGAACCCGTCGCAAAACATGAATCTTCCTCAAAAAAAACCCTAATACTAGACACTAAATAATGAAAAAAAATCCCCAACAACAGAAGCATTGAAGCCTAGATTTACGAACAATCAATCAGGGAAGTAAAGTTTTAATGAAGAGTCTCATCGAAACCTAGAACTAGAGAAAAATATTAAGCGTACTTCGAGCGTTTACGATGGTCCGCAGAGCGCCGTTAAGTATCCTGAGTCTCATTTCGCCCTCTGTCTTCCTCTTTTAGTCTTCGCCGGCTTCTTGTTGCTATCACTCTCTCCCGAATGTAACGAGTCTGGGGTTACGGTGATGGGAGAGCTTATCGAGTGAAATAGGGTTCAAAACGGGTCGAGACGGGTTTTTTAGGATACTGTTGGACCCGGATTCTTATTTAGACTGAATTTGGGCTTATGAAGGGACTTTCATCTTCCGTGTGAAGCTGATATCTTTTCTTTTTCTTTTTCTTTTTCTTTTTCTTTTTCTTTTTTCTTTTTCCCCCCTCTTAAGGTAAAACATGTTGGTAAAATAGTGTCAAGGCCCCAATAATAATAAGCCCATGTGACAAGCCCCCATGTAATTTAGGTCATGTGTTTCAGCCCCGAATACGTACATGATGTATTTGTGTCAATGCCCTAATACGACTGTCATGTGAGCAGTTAGAGAAAAAGCCCACTTGAAATTACAAACACACCTTCTTCATGAAGTGACCGAACTTGGTAACCGCGCTCATCCCCAACTCAAGTATTCTCTCTCCCTCTCTCTCTCTCTCTCTTCTACTGTTCAGGAACCACCAGAAATTCCCAAACTCCATTTCTCCTATCTCGCATTTCAAGTTAGGGTTAGGGTTTTTGCCGTGAATATGTCGTTGAAGGAAGTATATGCTCACGATTTCTAAGTTGTTCATCATGGTGGACGGCATGAGCAAGTTATCAGTGGCCGTGGAAGATGGTCTAAGGGGCTGTTCGTTTCGCAAAAAAAATTAGGAAATCAAAGAATAGGAAACATATTTCCTATAATAATTGTTTTGAGGTTGTTTGGTTGGCTTAAAAAAGAAGAAAACTATAGAATAGGAGATGAGATGAGATGAGTTGTCTCTTTATTATTGGATGGTGTGAGTGATTTTTAAAAAAAATTGTTTTGAGGTTGTTTGGTTGGTTAAAGAAATAAGGAAATGAATTGGAGGTATATTAGTGGATGATGTTTTGAGGTTGTTTGTGTTTGGTTCATTTTTAAAAATAAGAAAATAGATGAGATGAGATGAGTTGGAGGTATATTATTGGATAATGTGACACATACTTAAGGAAATCAATTTCTTGTTTTTTTAAGGAAATGGATGGAAATGAAGGTTTAATAAAATGAGATGAGTTGTCACAATATTATTGGATGATGTGTGTGATTTTAAAAAATGAGATAAGATGAGATGTGATGAGTTGGATGATGTGACACATTTCTTGTGTTTGGTTTATTTTTAAAGGTAAGAAATAAGATGAAATGAGATGAGTTGGAGGATAAAAATATTATTTTATTGGATGTTGTGGGTGAGTTTTAGGGATAGAAATGGATAAAAATATTATTTTATTGGTTTCCTTGTACCAATTTCCTTTTCTTGGTTTTTAGGAAACCAAACAAACGGCCCCTAAACAAAAAATGAAGCCAAATCTTTGTCCTCGGTCGCACTCCGTGAGTGAAGTGATGATCACACGGGTTCGTCGAGTGATGATGGTCGTGCCTTTTCTAGCGGTAGTGAATATAGTCAATCATCTGGGAACGGAAGCACGGGGGCGATGGCCCTTTTGGTCATACAAATGGGTGAAGTTCAAGGTTGAGGCGATAAAAGAAGTTCAGCATGAGATGGTCAATTTCTAATTGTTGGAATGGTGAATATGGTCAAATTTTACTATTAATCCCAAATCATTTACTATTATGTGTAAGCTATTTCTTGTTAATTGTAAGATGTTACTGTTATTTTGAATATGGTCAATTTCTAATTGCTGAGATGGTGAATATGGTCAACTTTTAATTGTTGGAATGGTGATTGTATACAGCTTTGGCATTATGAGATAATTGGCATAAAGAGATATGTCATTCGCGATAGATTTAAGCCTACAATGACAAATTGCGTTACTCCTAGCGACGATTCATATGAAGTTGTACGGGCAAGACTTGTCGCAGATATACTCATTGAAGGACGTGAACAAAGGCAGAAAGAAATAACACTGGACAAAGATGAACTATGTTTAACAGGAAATCACTAAAATTTAACATGATGTGATATACAGGTAGCAATACATTATGTAGCTTAACATGTTGTGATATCTATTCCTTTATACAAAAGGGAGAACCAGAGAAGCACTGTTCATGCTACAGTAAATTGAACAGTAGATTTAACACTGCAGCTGATCACACATCACACATACAGTAATTCATTATGGAGCACACTAATTTCCACGGACAGATTTCCCTCAGAAATAAGAACGAAGACTGAGATTTTGAAATTCAAATCTCTTTGAAATTCAAGCCTCTGCTGAATCTGTGTGTATCGATTCGCGTCCCTCCCTCCCTCTCTCTCAGTTCGCGGATCCCGAATCAAAACCCAAAAAAAAATTTAATGGCGAGCAAGCTCCAGCGTCTCCTCTCCTCTCTCCTCGAGTCTCCTATGCCAAAATTAGGGTTTCATAACGATCACCAATCTCCCGTGATGTTCGCATCTAAGAGGAACCTAAGCTCATCAACGCCGCAGCAACCTTCAGAGAAATCGAAGGTCGATTCTCCTCTCTCAAGTTTCCCAGTTTCCTCCCTCTTTCGTCTCCATCGATCTCGATCCCTCTCTCAAGTCTCAACCAATCATTGGATTATTCAACCGATTCTCGAATTCAAGGATCGAATTGAACTGGGCTCTGATTTCTCCGCTGGCCGTGGGGGCATGCGTTGTCCAAACCTAGGGTTTCTCAGGGAGCGGATATAGAGATCTTAACGAAGAGGAATCGGTTCCTCAAGTGGTAAGGTTTCAGACCTTTTGCTCTTTAATTTTCTGTGGGTTTTTTTTCCTATAATTGGGGCTATTATGTGTAGTAGACCTAGAAATGGATCTTTGAACTGATTTGCCTTTTCAGTCAGGTGAGATCTTTGAACTGATTTTTCCTATAATTGTTTTTATGCTTAATTATTTAGAATTAAGTTATTAGTAAATTTTAGGTCGAACACTCTTAGGGGTAGATTGATTGAGTAATTATATTGTTAGATTAAGTGATATTTAGTGGAATGTGTAGTTCCTCTCTTCATTCTTATTAGTGAAATTTAGTTTCTATATCATGTTTCAATAAGCTAATGTATTTGAATAACAACTTTTGACCAAAATGTTCAGAGAATTTCCATCACCAGCAGAAGAGTCTGGCCATAAATTACAATGTACTCTATAATCAAAACAAATACACTAACAATCCCATTTATGCTTATTGCTCTATGTATTGTACAACAAATAAGAATACTGGCAGTAACTTTTTTTGGGTCCATCTACCATCAGTAGATGTGCACAAGCTCTCTAATACGTGAAAGATGAACTAATATACAATGGTTATTTGCCAAACGAGTTAATCTTACTCTGAGTAAGTATCATCTTCTTCTATGAAATTATACTCCTTGAGGCCATCAAGCCTGAGTAGCAAAGTTCCTGAATTTTCTTCACACCAATCAATACCTTCCCTCTTAATCTTAACCAGGGAAATTACCTGGAATGATCAATCGAAGCCATATAGAATAAGATGTGTCCATTGCACAGATTCTACGATAATCTCTAAAATCAAAAAATTTCAGAAAGACTCCTGAGTGTAAAGGAGTAAAAAAAATTCAAGGAGATGATAGAAGATATCAAACAAAAACAACAAGATAGTTGTTCTTGAATTTGGATTTAATCTTTTGCCCTCATACATTTGCTCTAAAACTATTTAAAAATCAATAATTTTAATAACTACTATAGATTAAGGAGGGGGGGTATTGTTGAATTTAACAGATGAGGGTTTTTCTTGAAAAATAGAGTACAAATGAAGAAGGTTTCTTGGAACTTACCCTTATATTTATATGAAATTTATTTTGGACCTTTTCTGTATAGTGATCCAATATATCTTCTGTCGCCGTTGCCTAGACATTTGAGAAAACTCCTTTATTTTGTTCAAATCTGATCCGAGGTATTTCTTTTTTTTTTGTTTAATTATTGATAGCTAATAATAATTGTGATCACAACATCCTAATGACACGTGCTCATATTTAATCTTATTTCAACTGAACCCTCAATTTGTAATTCAATCACTTCCATTTTGAATAGTCGAGAACTTTTATGTGGGAAATTTTTTTAATATTCAAATATATTGATATTATACTACATGCTCATATCATTTCATTTATTATTATTTATGTAGAAGACATGTAACTAATGTGTGTTCCATTCCACTCTTGGTCAGTTCTCTTCAAAGTTCTTTCAATATGTTTATTTCTTTTTTATGCATGTTTTGTTTAACTTTTTAAAGTTTTCTTTTAACATTTGTTTACTAATTCTCTTTTATGATTCTTTGAAGCAACCCAAGGCCGATAAGAAAGAGTATGATGAGGTATTGCTTGAATCGACTAACTCTTGATCCTCTGCAATTAGATCTCGGTGTGGAATTTGTAGTTTATCATAGATTTTGATCTTTTAGTGAAGATTATTTCCATATATACATACATACATATATACACACACAATTCTAGATCTTTATATTTTCCATATATACATACATACATACATACATACATACATACATACACATGTATGTGTATGTATGTTTGTATGTACACACACACACACGTATACATACATACATACATATATATATATATGCTATTTCATCTTTAAGTTCTTGCAAGCATCAAGTTTTCCATCAAGCATTTGCTAGCAATGTGGCAAGAACGGCAAAGGCAGGTGAAAATTGAGAATTTTGGTTTGAATGAGATCATATTTTATTTTTAAACCCAAATTTTTATTTTATATTAGAGGCACTAATAATGCGTCTCTCTTTAATTCTTAATTATATGTTTAAACAAAAACTTGGAATTGACCTCCTCTTTTCAGTCTTATTCGCTATTGTATTCATGTGTTGTCAAGAACTATGACTAACCTTGCTTCCCATAAGACAAGTTCTTTTCAAATGTAATAAACACTCGACTCTTCTCCTTTCCCTCTGATTTTAGAGTCAAACTGAGATGAGTTTTGAGTGAAATCTGAAAATTTCAACATACTGCAAATCATGTTTTAATTTAATAGTTAAAATTTTAGATTAATTAAAAACT